TTGGATAAAATGTACACAGGATCTATTATTTCTTATAATAGCATGTGAATATACAATTATCTCAAAATAGTTGAATTCTTTAAATGTGTAAATGCTCTTTGGCTATATATATATATATGTTTAAATAAGTGCAATTCTCTTAAGAATACAATGACCGAGGGCAGCAGGATATTTCTCAAATTTTAAGAAATTAACTCAGAAGTGCCACCCCCTCATCTTGCTGTCAGAGACTTGATGTGCTCTGCATAGTGCTCGAATTAGGAATTCGACAGGGAGACACTGGCCCTGGCCTCACAGTGTTCAGGGGTGTGTGTGTGTGTGTGTAGGCACGTAGGTGGGCGCTGGTGAGAGAGCAAGCGAGAGAAAGCAGACGGAGCGAGAACTATACCCTATCCTCCTATCAGGGAAAGTGGCAACCTGCTAAAGGTGCTGTGCTGAAAGGGTGTGAGGGAAAGGAGAGTGCTGGACTCGGGAATTTCCTCCCGCGGCACCCTCCAGGAGGCCGTGGGCGGTGGCTGAGCAGCCCTGGTGCAGCGAGTGAACCTCACCGTCCACGAGAAAAGGTGAGCACGGGTGGGGGACGGGGGTACAGCCTCAGGCCGCGGGCATGCTCGGCAGCCTGGCTCGCAGAACGGTGTCTGGGCTTGGATGCTGCAGTGAAGACGCCAACGAGACTCCAAATGCAGGGAGCTAGGCGCAGTGGCCGGGGAGGGTGGGGCCGCCCGGAAATCCCCGCGGCGCCAGCCGGGTAGCGTCTGCAGGCCGGGGCCGCTCACTCTAGGGGCACGTGGGTGTGGAGGAACCGGCGCCGCGGGGCCTCCTCTCTGCAGCGCCGCGGCAGCCGGGTGCCTGCACTCGGCGGACCCGGCTGCAGCTGGAGGGACAGTAGGCGGGGTGCCTGCCTCGCGAGCCGATGCTCCCAGCCCCAGCCTGGCATCCAGCTGGCAGGGGCGGGGACCGTGGCTAGGCCTGGCGCCTGGAGGCGCTCTCCGCTTGCGTCTTCTCCTGGGTTCCGGCGCCTCCTTCCCACTCCCGTGTGGGAAGCCGGAGGCTTTGTCACGGGTGGCTGGGGATGCAGGCTGGGGACGAAGGGGCTCCCCGACCGGCCGAACGCTGGCACAAGGGAAAGACTAGGACGGACAGAAATCAGTGGGAACGCCGTGGGGCCTCGAGGGAGTTTCGCCCGCAGCCGAGCTCCGGATAAGGGCGCCGGGGACCCCCTGGGGCTGGCGAGTTCCACGTGGGTGGGCCCCGAGCTGGGTGCAGCAGTAGGGTCGCGGGTAGCGGGCATGTGCACTCCCTCGTGCCCACACACGGACCCGACTTCCACCCGCCCCGGGCGGGGTTGGCGCCGGGAGCGCGCGGGGAAGAGAAGGCGGCAGAGTGTGGGGAGGGGCGAGACGGAGAGTAGCTGAAGGTGTGGCCGCAGGAGAGGGGGCGAAAGGCATTAGAAGGCTGTGGCCCCGGAGGCGCAGCCTCCCCACAGTCAGCGAGGAGAAGGGGGCGGGGTGGGTGCCCGCCGGTCGCCAGCAGGGATGTCCTCGGAATGAAAGGAAAAGGGTCCACTTAAAGGGGTGAGAGTCGGCAAAGACTTCTGCGGATTCCACCGGCGCGGAGGGATTTGGGCGCGGGGGCGCGGGAATCGGCGCGCGAGGCCTGGTGTCTTAATGCTGGCAGGTGACGCGAGCGCTGCGGCGCCTCCACCGGAACAGAGTTCCCGAGGGCGCGGCCCGAGATGGGGGAGTTTCCTTAAATTGGGTATTTCCCACGGTTGCCCTAAGCCCAGCTTCAGTTCCATCTCCTGCCTTCCCGATCCCCCTGCTCCACACGCCTCCAAGTTCCTAGCAGAGATTCAGCGATGATTACTACCAGGTTCATTGTCTGTAAAAACCAGTACAAATTCCTCACTTTGTTAACCGTCCCGACTTCCAGTCACCACGGGGGCAGCTTTTCATAGACCTAAGGCGTGGTCACTCCAAAAGCCCATAGCAAGTTGCTAGCGCCTCTGCTCCTTCTCCGCAAACCCGGACGGTGCCACCGGAGGACGCTGAAGGCACAGGCTCGGCAGCCTCGGAAGCAGTGGGCCGCCCGTCGGCTGCTGGGCGGCGGCGCGAGGGGCCCCCGGCCGAGCCGAGTGTGTACGCATCTCGCGCCCCCTCCCTTGTGGGGCCGGTTGGCCAGATGCGGACGCTCGGTCAGTGTCGCTCTCTCCTCGGATATAGCGCCTTTTCTCAACAGAGTGTGAACCAGTAGACAGATGAACTCAAGAGTCCGGAGAACCTTCCCGCCCTCGCGTCGCCTCTGCCTCCCGACCCCTCTGCCCTTCACCAGGACCAGCGATTTGCGTGCACCCGCCAGCCCTGGAACTTCCGCCCTCAGCTTCCCACTCTCAAAGCAGCCGAGGGAGGGCCTTTACGAGTTACCTGTCTCACATCAGCAGCCACACCGAGGCCGACCCTCTAGCTCTGCTTCCGAAGGACAGAGCCCATGAAAATCCAAAACCCTGCCTCCCCACGCCCCATGCAGGGCGACCCCCTGGATGCGTACGTGTATGTGCGCGCGGAGCACGCATTTAACCGCAACTAGCAATTCTCAGACGACTAAGACAAAGCTTTTCAAGTAAAGATGGTCCAGAGCTCAAGTAAAAGAAAAACACTTCCTCTAGGCACAGAATAGGTGTTCGCCACCTGTCTCGGCTTCTAGGGCGTCTGTTTCTCGGACAAGGGATCTTAACTTTGAATTCCCGCTAGATCCGCTATGAAATTACCTCCCCCAGCAGTGCCGCAACAAGTAGCCCCCCGCCTCCCCGGCGCGCGGGGTGGATCTGCAATCTCCCGCCCTCCCCCGCCCCCCAGTCCTTGCCTGAGTAACCGTCTTTGGGGTGTGTGTGAGGGGTGCTATTTATTTTTAATCGTGAAAATTCTGTCTGCGCCCTATGCGCTAAAATTCACTTGTCACAATAAACCTCCAATTTTTACGTGGTGGTATCATCAAGATTAACACTTGGAAAAGGAACCCACCTTCCTTATGAAAGGTTTTTTTTTTTTTAATTTAATTTTTTAACTGAGAATCGGCATCCTCCCTGCCCTCCCCCCATGGACTTTCAATTTATTGATGCGATTTCCTCAACCTCTGTGGTTTGGAGAAATGGAGCGGGGGATGGGGGTGGAGGGCGCAACGGTATCGAGGCGTCCAGCGGGAGAATAAGATGCTCCTTATTAATTTAGTTGATTTAGATCAGATGCTTCTCCTTCTCCCACCTCTCCTCTCTTCAATTTTCACTTGTAAAGTCGAAGCTTCCTCAAGAGCTATGTTGCGTTTGTACCAGCTTTCCAAACCTTTCCGGGTAAAACTGGCCGTCACTTGTCCCACGCCCAGCGACGCCCAGGTACGAATGGGTCAGTGTCCCACTTTCAACACCAAGAGTCATATTCTGGTTGGAAAGGCTCTCAGGGACGGAAACTGTTGCCCTGCTGGCCAAAGTGGGGAGTGGAGGCTGGGGCACTCGAAGACCAAGGGTATCTGTCTTTCCCCCACCTCCCCGAAATGCCCCAGAGTCAGCTGAGGGCGGTGGCGGTGGCGGCGGCGGCCTCGGCTGGAAACCGCGTCCCCGCCCAAAGTGAGTACAAAACTCCCTTGGACTGAAGTTTGAAAGAATCCAGTGTAGAGACAGACTTCTTCCTCCAATCTGGTTAGAATAAATAATCATAGAAACATACCCACATAACCGCCCAAGTAAAGAGCCGACGCCCAGATTTGCCGTCCCCACGTGTTGCTTAAGTTGGCGTGGACGCACCCGCAGACACAGCGGCTGACGTGACACCGCATTTTCTCCGGATTCCTGCCTTCTAGGGTGGTGCAGCCTGGAGAGGGGGGCACAGGGAGGTGGGGGAGGCCGCTGCGGAATCCATGGCTCTGAAGGAGCACTGGGGCTTAGAATAGCGCCCAACCCTGGGGGACCCTCGCACAACCCAATACCCCCTGATAGGAAAAGCCTTGTTCGTATGGATGATTAATAGCCGGCCTTCCCACAACCAAGCGGCGCGTTTCTGCCGCAACTACTAGTTTAGTTGTTTTAATTTGACCTGTATTAGCAAGGTGCTCCCAGAAGCTGCGAACTGGATTCGCACCCCTATGAGCTCCCCCCTCCACCCCAGCCTGCTTCCTGGGGAGGGCTGGGGACTGCAGCTCCCGCGGCGTCGTCTTCTCCCGAGGGAGCAAGCCGGCGTCCCTCTGCGTTCTAACCCGGGAGACGTCTGGCAATCCGGGGCGTGGTCGGGGGGGGGGGTCTCCCGGCCCGCGGATCTGGGCGATGTCTGCGTGCACCGCCGTGGGGTTCCTCTCTGGTACAACGTCCCGGTGTGCAAGAAAATTTTTTTCTAAGTAGCGCTGGCATCTACGGACTGGCGGTGGTCTACACTGACAGTGCTTCTATCTGGAGGTGTGGGGGGAGGGTACTACGGCCAGAGGACGGGAGGACAGTGCAGGCCGGCTGGCCGCATGGGAACCGATTCTCTCCGGACTCAGCCGCCAGGAGCACCCCGCGCTGCGGCTAAAAGGGGCTGGTAGGCTCTTCTGCACCCCCGTGTGCTCCCCCACCGTCCCTGCGTCCCCCGGCTTTTCCAGCAGGAAGATGGGGTGCCCAGCGGGGGTGGGGCTCTCCGGGCCGTGGGGCCGGACTGTCACGTGCCCCCCTCCCCCGCCACTGCGGCGGGAGTTCCAATCAGAGCGCGCCAGGGGGCTCCTCCTGGGCAGGAACCACCCGGCTCGGCGGCAGAGGGTGGGCCGCCGTCACCTGACCGCCCGCCCCCGCCCCCGCCCCCCGCAAGTAGGGGCGGTGGTAGCGTCTGCTCGGTTACAAATGGCCCCTCCCGCCCCGCTCTCTCGGGCTCGGCGCGGACCCGCCCGGGCGCGCTTGTCGGGCCGACTCCAGGCGTCCAGCCGCCCTGCTGTACCGGCCCGCGGTCCCCGCCACCCCTGAGGGCGTTCCCGGTACATAGCGCGGAGGCTTGTCGGCGGAGGCAGCGACAGGAGGCTGGAGAGCCGAGTCCCGTGGCTCGCTTACCCGCAGGTGAGTGTGCAGCTCGGGCGTGGGATGCTGCGGAGACAGTGCGGGGTTCGGGCGCAGGTTAAGTTTGTAAACCGAGCCGGAGGTCTCTCGCCTCCTCGGCCTCCTGCTTGCCGCGTCCGCGGATCGGGGACTTGGGCAGAAGCCTCGATTCAGGGGGAAGGACTTCGGGAAATTCTGGAAGACATATCAGGTGGGAATGTGTAGTTGCAGTTGATGGGGGTTAGACAGGTGCACACGAGCGTGCCTGCGTGTGTGTGGCTCCCGGGTGAGGCTCAGCCCGAGATGGGGCGAAGCCTCTGCGGCCGGTCATTCTGTCCCCAAAAGCCATTTAGATGCCAGAGAGAGAAATTGCGCTGCTATGAGGTGGTCACTGGATGTAGGGCAGTAAATCAGTGACCCCAGTATTTCTGATAAGCCCCTGTAGAAGCAGGAGTGCAGTGGCTCAAGAAAGTGTGTGATATTTTAAGGTATCCAGAAAGTATTCCTTTTACCTTTTAACTTCTTGGTAGAAATTAGTATAAAAAGTGCTGAATCATGCAAAAAAGAGATGGAAAATAATTTCATTTTTGGTAAAGTTTTTCAAAGCTAATATCATCTGCGTTTTTGGGTGAATACTTTAAATTTACGGTGTAGACCTTAATTGTATTTTATGACTGTGCTCTTGGCTTTATGACTATGGGTTGCTTTTTTTCTTTCTTAATGGTAAGTTGTAGCCATTCATTATCTCCTACTGCCCTCGCCACCCTCTCTCCCCCTTCCAAAAAACCCCAGAAATACCAAGACTTTTTTTTTTTTTTTTGGTGTGTTCATGATTGTAAAAGGAGTGGGGGAAGCAGGCCTTGGAAATAGGAACGATTCTCCTTTGATGAGTGCGATGATGGCCAATTTGATTTGTCACATGCCACTGAAGGACATGTCAAGCTGATAACATGCAGACTGGAGAGGAAAAGAAACAGTTGTCGATTGAATAAGAAATAAACCCTAATCCAGTTGCACTCAGTAAAACAGCTGAAGGGTAGTGCTTCCACGTTGGGAGCCTGAGTCCTCTTTGGTGAAGGTGGAGGGGTGCAATTTTTGATGGAAGTTCTGATATCAGACAGCAAGTAGCAATAAGATGATTAAAAGGAAAAAAAAATCAGAGTCAGGTTTAGTGAAATGGGTGTGTCCAAAGACAGCTCTTGCCTGGTTGCCCCGGGCTGCACCGCCTGAACTGTTCAGTGGCCTGCTGACTCATAAAGGAACCAGCATATATGCTAAGCAGGGTTGGATTTTATTTGTAGACTCTAAAGAACATTTTCCTGTAAAAGAGAGAGAGAGAGAGAAACTTCATCAGAAGCATCCTTAGACACAGAAGCCTGTCTCCTCCTCATATCTCTTCTTCAGGGAGCGTTTCCTGGTTCCTTGACTTGTCACCTTCATTTCAGGACTTGTCACCCATGCTTGTGCACAGTACCTTTGATTGGATGCAAAGATTTTAATCTAAACCTTAACCGTAGAAACAGCAGCACTCTTAACAATATGGTTATTTGGGGAGGAAAATGAAAAACTGGAATGTGAACGATTAATTGAGTTTTCTTTGCAGCACAGATTCGCTTAACATTGCTTGCCAGGCCACGGAGCCCCACCCTGTTTGTGTGCATGAAAGACCAGGGAAGGAATTGGACAATTGCAGTGGTGCAGAGCCAGGCAGTCTCCAGGCTTGGATGTTAGGTTTATTTAAATAATGACTAATCCTAGGTAGGTCTGGAAAAGGTGTAGTTTCACCTGTCAGTTTGTTACAATGCCCATTTAAATTGGGGAGATTTATTTTGCTAGAAAAAGGGTACGAAGCAGGAGTTGCTTCCAAGTTTTGAGATGCTGGGGCTGAAATACACAATTGGAAGGACAAATACCAAAGCATCTATAGTGAAGCCAAAAAGAGTTCTTTTTGCTCTGATATCCTTAAGAAAATTTTCTCATGTTAAGTAAGGGTTTTTTTTTTTTTTTTTTGGTGAGGGGGGGCTCATTTTCAGGCAAGGCAGGGAATAAACCAGCTTGTGGGATAGACAAGCACCTGGCATGTGAGTTAGAACAGAGATGCATAATTGCTGCAGGAAATAGATGAATGACCTTACCTTTCACTGTCTGGCCCTTCAAACAGAACCCAGCCATGCCACATCAGATTAAAGGAAGGCCATTTCTGTAACATGGCGAGGAGATGTCTAATCTTATTTCAAATCAATGGGAAGGAAAATGTTTTGAGCTGCTCTGAAGAAAGGGGTATTAAAAATTCACACTAATTCCTTATTATCATGGCCATGCTTACCGGCATTGTCTGCTGCAGACCGCGGGTCTGACCCTGAGGAAGAGTGATGATGAAGACTTTTTTCTTTCCTTTTTTTTTTTTTTTAAACAACAGCAAAAGAAGAGGTCCATTTGATATTACCATTCCTTTTTTAAAGCAAATAAATCATTTAAAGAAGAAAATACGACACTCTTCCTCTGATGGCTAGAGTGAATTCGTGCGTTTCTGAGCCTGGATGTGGTGTATCCGCTTAGCAGCATCTCAGTTATTCCAGTTGGAAGTAATGCTCCAGGTGAAAATTGCATGTTCTGTTCTCAGCTAATGTGAGTTCAAAGCTGTTGAAGCCACCTCTTCTTTTTTTCCTTCTTGCTTGTACTATTTTCCCCCTCTTTTAAATCCAGAAACCACACTTACAAATTCTAGAGCACCTAGAAGTCTTTGAGATTTCACCAGGAATATACCATCAGGTAAATTACCTGTGATTGCAGGTCTTTCTAAAATCAAAATAGATTTCAGAGTTGGCTTTAACAATCAAAGTGGTAGGATGTTGCCGGTGCTTTATGCAGTCATGGTCGCCCTGGCAGCCTGGTTTCAAAGAGGGTCTTTTCCCAAGATTTGCAGTGATTATTTTGTGGAAGCTAGCTAGCTCCGCCTGCTTGCACAGTAATTGCAGTGGGAGAAGGTTCCAGAACAGTACCTCCTTAAGTTCAGTCAGTAAATATGCACACAGCATTGTGCGAGGAACATTCCAGAACACCCACCTCCAGTGAAGTGAATGTGCTGGCAGGATAACACCTGGGCTGCTTTAACCCACCAGCAAATCTCATTTTTTATCACAGGAGATGATGCTAATGTACAGTGAGCTTTTGTGGGGGGGACACTGGAAAGCCCTGGAGGATGGAGAGGGGCATCTGATGTCTGACTTCTCTTAGAATTGGCCTTCGAGAATCTGTCTTTTTCATTTGAGTATGTCAGGTTATGCATGTTTTGCAAAGAGATTGAAGAAAGCACATTGTGCTAAACCACTTAATATAGGGATTTGTAGGGTTAGTAATGGAGCGCTCGTGGCGCAGTGGTTAATAGCTCGGCTGCTAAGCAAAAGGTTGGCAGTTCGAATCCCCCAGCTGCTCCCTGGAAACTGTATGGGGCAATTCTACACTGTCCTATCGGGTCACTATGAGTTGGAGACGACTAGACCACAACGGGTTGGTTTGTTTGGTAGGGTTAGTAATACCCAGTTTCATTGGCTCTAAGTATTTAAAAATTAATATATTCATAGGATTTTTAGATGTGTGAGTGTTGGGTTGGGGCAGTGAGGAGTAGCCTTTAAAATAACCATTTGGAAATTACTGATTGTTTAAAATTATACGACGTTGAATGCTTGCACATACATATCGGCAAAATCAAAGAATGCATTTTGGAGTGCACATATTGCCACATACACATGTATTTTACACCAATTAGAATTGTTATTCAGGATTATTCAGTTCTTTATGTTGAGAGTTTTTGTTTCTTTCCTGGTAGATGTTGAACTCTGATTCTGCTATGCTTGGGTATCTTGTACAGTGGACAAATACAGTTTTTCTTATAATTAAGTAAAGTCCATTTTTTTTTGCAATGTGTCTTTATTTAGATTGCCAGTTTAAAAGTTGTCAAGCTCTAGGTTTTAGAACCAGAAATATCATGAGAAATAGTATCTGTCCTGAGGTAGCTCACGATGCATCTCCTTTGCTCAAATTACTGTAAATCATCTTTGCTACTCATGGAATTTGGAAACTCTCCAGACTGCTAATGACCAAAATATTTTGGTCTTACAGGTGTTGTTCCTTTGATACAATGGACGGTGATTCTGCACTTCTGCCTGAGAATGGTCCAAAATGTAAGTTCAGCAAATCTAATAATTAAGTATCAGTAACACTGGCGTTCTGTGCAGAACAGTACTTCCATTTTCATTCCTTCTACCCAAACAAGATTCTAGCCTCATAAATCAGGGGCTAGAGGGAGGTGAAGGAGCCCTGGTGGTGCAGTGGTTAAGCACTCAGCTGTTAAGTGAAAGCTTGGCAGTTCGAACCCATCAGCTGCTCCACAGGAGAAACATGTGGCAGTCTGCTTCCATAAAGATTACGCACAGCCTTAGAAACACTACAGGACAGTTCTGCTCTGTCCTGTAGGGTTACTGTGAGTCAGAATCGACCCAATGGCAATGGGTTTGGTTTTAGAGGGAAACAATATCATCTTTTGCGGGGAGAAATTGCCTTAGACCAACATTCGTTCACTACACAGCAGTGCAACTTTAAATGACCGCCATCACAGCCATTGATTGGCGTTCCTCTCTTCACCACCTCCCCAACATTATTTTTCATGGTAATAGACTATATACTTTTGGTGTCTGGGTAATGCTGACTCTACACCTCCCCAAAGGTCATGTCTTTCTGGGTGGCCCTGCCCGTCCTAATCTTCTTCTGGTTCAAGCAGATAGATTCCAGCATGTAGACACATCCAGCCTCAGGAGCAGAGTTCCTCTGTGCCAGATGAAATCCTGTGGCTACTATAGTGCTACCTTTTCTCCCACGTCCATTTACTAAAATGCCTCTTTAGGCCAGCTGATGAAGGTCGAGCTCAGGATCTGGTAACTTTCAGGTATAAAATGGAAAGTGTTAACAGTATGCAGGAGGCCATTGCTTTGTCAACACAAAGACATTGGATGATGTGGGATTTTACAGATTTTCACAGGATAAGCCCACTTCTCCATTTTATGAATATCAAGTACTTTCAAGTATGACTCTTTAAGGAAAGAACTGTCTGTTCTCTGATAGGGACCCAGTGCTTCTTTAAACCAGTTGCCGTCGGGTCTGTTCTGATTCATGGCAACCCCATGTGTGTCAGAGTAGAAATGTGCTCTGTAGGATTTTCAGTGGCTGATTTTTTGGAAGCAGATTGCCAGGACTTTCTTATGAGGTGCCTCTGGGTGGACTCGAACCTCCAACCTTTCAGTAAGCAGCCAAGCTCGTTAACTGTCTGCACCACCCAGGGATTCCCTCTGTTTATTTAGAAATCTCAAAGGTAATTTAAGATATTTTTGAAAAATTCTTGGACATTTAATGCATTTAATCATTGGTCAAGCTCTAGAAAGCTGATTTTTTTTAGGAAAACCATTTCACACCCCTTGCTTTTTTTTCCCCCCCTTCTGTCTACACAGCTGCATCTGCCTAAAACATGGATTTCCATGTAATTCAGTTCACTGACTATCACTCCATTTTTGTTTCTCTGCAGAGTTTATTGCTAGAGCTGCTAATAGACTTTCAGCACAAATAGTATGTTGATCACTTGAAATCTCGTTTGAGCTTGACCGAATATACATAATGGGGTGTCAGTCGGGGAAAAACCTCATAATAAATGGCAGGCGACTTATATTCATGAGAAAATGTCTTGAGCAGCACACAAAAATATCATGTGTACTGTAGCATGACCGACTGATTTCACTGGTCTCCGTCACATTCATCGGGGTGAATGTTTAATAGCAAAGGCAAGGTTAGATCCTGGAACCTTTCTTTGTTTATATGGAGAAGCACATTCTATACAGCATAAACATCTTCTAGAACCACCGCCAGTGAGAAAGATCTTTTCTACCTGAGGAATTCAAAAATTGCAAACAAATCTGTTTAAGTTGGTGCATATTTAAAACCAGTGACTGGTTTTATGCAGTCCGTGTTTTTTTTTTTACCACGTGTGTATCAGTGCATACACTCGGTGTATGCAAATATCATTTTCTGTGTGTGTATGCGAGAGTACGGTATATTTAGAGAAAAGCCTGCTTTACATAATTTATTTTTAAGAACAACTGAGCAGAGAAGTATCCATGCGTTAGAAAAGTAAAATGTTATTTTTTCTTTTTAAATTTTCCATTGAATGCTAAGTGAAGGAATCTCACTTTTAAAATTCGATATGTACTTCTTTAAAATCAATTTTCTTGATAGAGCCGTGACTACGATGGGAGTTATCCTTGGGAAGTGATTTTTGGGGTTATTGACTTGACAGCTTTCCCTTCCCCCTGGTTGTCTGTGTGGGATCTGGCCACAGAGGGAAGATGAGGTATCATATAAGCTGTAATCCTGTTTCAGTCCAGGACAATGTGGGGTACATTATGCTTTTCCCAGTCCTCTGGGTGGGGTACAACCCGCTTCCATCTTGAATTCTTTGTCTCTTCTGCATGAATTAAGACAATGAACTCTTTGCTAATCGGCTTTTAATTTGCCTTTTTATGGCCCCTCCACCACCCTCCCCCCGCAAAAAATAATCACACCATGGGCAAATGTCTCTTCCAGTTCCTGTGCTGTATTCAAGATTTTTTTTTAAATGTATTATGGCAGAGTTTTCACTTTTTTACCCTCAAGTCATAGTCAATAACCAGAAGAATCTACTTACCATGAAGACTGTGTGAAACAAGCGAGGCTGTTAAGATACAGAGGACGTGACATCGGGCCATTAGCATGCCTATGGTTTTTCCATAGGGTTTCGGGAACTTTTGTCTGTTTTCATCTTCGGCACTGAAATGCTTCTGATTTCCTCTGTAAGGTTTCTAATTAGCAGTAAGAGTGAATATGGTTTGCTGAGGAAATGGGATTATCTGAGAAGGAGCCAGTTGCAGAGGTTTCACAATGTATGATTGTAGTAGAGCTACATACAAAACGAAACTCGTTGCTGTTGAGTCGAATCTGACGGCCCCACAGGGTTTCCACGGAGTGGCTTGCGGATTTGAACTGCCCACCTTTTTGCTTAGCAGCTGAGCTCTTAACCACTCCTCCACCAGGGCACCAGAGCTACATGGTAAGATGTTTTGTAAGTAGAATCTGTGAGGTGTTTTATCTGCGTATTCCGTTACAGATGCGTATAGTTTTGTGCCAGTTGGAAAACCAATTGGTTATTTTGCACAAAAGAAAAGCAACCACATTAGGGATTGGGAAATTGTGCTGTTGAGAATTATGAATTATGCTGTTGAGACTTTAGGAAAAGCTAGGTTATACTAGAACTTTAAACTCAGCAATCAATTATTTGAATGAGTTATCTTAACCTGCAGAGAAGTGTATGTCTGCAAATGTTGAAAGTGGGATTAATGGGATGTGACTAATAAAAGGGAAAAATTAAATCCCGGGACAAAGAAAATTGGAAAGAAAAAAAAAATCTCCAGAAGAAAATTGACCCTGAAACCTGCATTTATAGGCCTTGTTGTTATCTTAAATTTTCAATACTTTTAGTAATTTATTTTAATAAATGGAGAAAGGCTAAGTAATACGAACTAAGTAGAAGTTACACGAACTGTTTGCTGATTAAAAGGTACTCAAGATTATATTTTGGTCATGCGTATATTACCAGTTTGGTAATATAAAGACCCAGTTTTTATAGATTGTTTTCTTAAAGTCTTTAACAGCCTACAGTGAGAATACTTAAAGACAAATAAAACAGGTTTAACTACATATCTTTCTAGATCTTGTCAACAGAACTAAAAGTAGCATCAGTAGCACCAGGTTTGGTACAGCTTTTAAATTGTTTTTTAAAGATCTTCAGTCTACACAAATTTTGAAAAACGGAGTTGAATTTGTGCCTGTTTCACAGAAATGTACATTATGAATTTCTGGGGTTTGATTTTTATATACGCAAAATGGAGACGAGGAAAAAACTGAAGCTCCGATATTTTTGTTTTCTTCCAATGGCTGCATTTTCAGAAACCAAAGAGTCAAGGCTCTCTCTTGTTAGATGCTGCGTGTTTAAAGTTACATCCCATTTAATAGAAGAACAGCAGTGGGTCTACTTTTTCCTTCAACGATGATTTCAATAATAACTAGGTTGATGAAATGGATTAAAGCTAGCATGCTTTTTTTAAAAAAAGAAAAAAATTGTGTTTTTCCCTTTAATAAAGAACACATTCAGGCAAAGTAAAGAAAATTTACCATGTACTGATTCAGTTATCAGTGAAGTAGTAGTTAGATATATATGTTGTTTTTAATAAATCTAGCTTTACATTTAATGAAAAGTTTTATTTGCAGGCTTAATTGCTCATGCTAAGGGAAAAATCAACAGATAAATTGATTATGACATGTAACTCCAAGCTTTCTGTAAGTTAGTTTGATTGAGAGAGATATACTGTAATGCAGAAGAAATCTGTAGCGCATCCTCTTGTTTCGTTAAGAATCTATATTCTCCATATAAGAGGGGAATAACTTGGGGTCCCTGTCAGGTGAGTGAGTGATTGTCTGCATCTGTCCTGCTGGTGACCTTATTAATAGTTAAATGTACACACCTTTTAAAATGAGCTTCAGCCATTCCACTTTAATTGGAAACCTAACGCTGAGAAATTGTTGTTGTGGTTAGGTGCTGTCAAGTCAACTCCAACTCATAGCAACCCCATGTGACAGACTAAAACGGCCCCCATAGGGTTTTCTAGGCTGTCATCTTTATGGGAGCAGATTGCCAGGTGTTTCTCCCATGGAGCCACTGGGTGGGTTCGAACTGCCAACCTTTCAGTTAGCAGCCAAGCGCTGAACCATTGCATCATCAGGGCTCCTGCGTGACCAAATGTCCCAGTACGTTAAGGAAAATCGTCTTGACTATTTCCCCTGCCTAGTTTTTGTTAGAGTAACATGTGGTGACAAAGATGATTTTCTTCCTGATAAGCAGATACGCTGTGATTATGTAAGAATTTGGGGAAAAGGGTATGCGTGGTATTTTTGGGTTTTTTTTTTTTTTTTGCTTTTTTTTGCGGGGGGGTTGACTTTACATAAAGGAGGGAGGGTCTCATTTTTAAAAATCAAAAACTCAAGTTAAAACAATTGATAACCACTTTCAGGTTGAATGTCTTTCTCATCTTGCTGTGACCTCATC